TTCATTTGTCTTTCTCTTGCCATATCTCTTGTAGGGGCAATTACGTAACTGAAACTAAAGACGACCATCTAAAAATTTGTCATTAAGGAAAGGCCTGGACGATCGCCCAATCATCATTTCTCTCTTCCTATATCTCTTATAACACCAACGAACATTTCTCTCTTCCTATATCTCTTATAACACCAACTGACTTCCTTCGCTGGAATGATACTTGCAACACCTCACGAACAAAAGCTCGTTGCAGCACCTCACGAACAGAAACTCGTTGCAACACTTCGCTGGAACGATACTCCTCTTAGTTTTTTCAGGGGCCCAATGCGATAAAGTCACATACATACCTCGTTTGTCCACGTTTGCCCTTTGTCATTCTCTGACAGGGTTCACTTTCCTGCTAGGATAAATTTCTCACTGGGATTGAAACTTCTTTTGACTCCAATCCACCTTAATTGAGGCAGCTTCTACATGTGGTCAGCCTTAGGTATCTTAGGTCGGTCACCCGTTCACAAAAGATTTGAAAAAGGCAAAATGTCTTCGTCGACCTTTCTGAACCCTGATCGCTAGGAAGTAATCTGTAGTACCCATTCTCCTCGCCCAAGCACGAGGCCCGGATCTCAGAAGTAGGCGTTGGCTCCTCCTCAACAACATTGTACCACCCCCATAAATGGGTCTATGCGGCGTGTCGCACCTCTCCCCAGCCAACCTCGAAGGTCGTGGTTCCAAGAAGAGTCAATTCTAGCGATCGAGGTCGGGTAAACCGTTGATGGCCTCATCTTCCTTCTCCTCTTTTGCTTGGGGGACTTTGATGAGATATGAGCAAAGGGGGTAGAGAACATAATTTTTTAGAATGGGGCTAGGTGAGAGGACGTTATTCGAGATAGAGTGGGTGCCTTGGAAAAAAGGCTACGTTTGTTGCCAACTTTATTTCTTCTTATCGGATTGGCTTCTTCTCCAATATTCATTCCAAACACATAGGGTGACTCAACCCTCCTAATAACACTTAATTTGTTTCACATAAGCGCCTTAATATTTTTCAGAGCCTCATTTAGAACACTCGTACGTACCTCGTTTATTCTCCAGCGTGCTTTGTTTTTCTTTGATACCGTTTACCGGGTGACGACCTAAGTTTACTGTTGTCTTTTTATTTACTATATAGACTCTTCATTTTTAATTATTCACAAAATTTACATTATGACATCACACAACATTTATGCCTACATTTTTTTTTTGTTCCAAACTTCTTATTCATTTTAACCGCTTTTGAATATTATCTCATGTCTACATTTGAGGGATACTCACCCCATTGTTTTTCAGGAATGAGCAGAACAATATATGAATAAACACAGAAAACCATACAACATTGAAAAACGAAATTTAACAAATGTTAGCTACTAAAGATTAATATCATCCTCATAACCATCAACACGTAGAACACGAGATTGAATACCAACAAACGACTAAGGCAACCTTTGTTTGTATATAACAACAATATTTGCGGCGAATTCCATGAATAATTGTCAAGAAGATAAATGAAAAAAAAAAAAAAAAAAAAAAAAAAAAAAAAA